GGTCTTGCGAATTTCTCGTTCCCCTTGGACACTTCAGTTCTGTTTTCTTGCGAGCTTCTCGTTACCTCTGTAATCCCATCGTCGTAACAACACGGGAGCAATTGCTCTATGGCCCCTCACGTGACCAGATGGCTTTATTCATTTTTTACGAAATAAATTGTCCTTCAGAGGTTCTGTAGCTACTGACGAGCAGTTATTACAAATTGTAACAATTTATGATCACTTGGCTTGTTAGCGATATCCCAGTCGATGTCGTTGAATTTTGAATAGAAGAACTTGTCTTGTTCTGTGACAAATATGATAATAACTTTTTTAATCGTCGATATTAGCGGAAGAGATATTTATTTGGGAATAATTTAGAACTTTTGAAAGAGTATAACATTCTGAAAGGTGGGTGGTTTGATGGGGCCATAAAAAATTTCAGAGGTGCATTGTTCTTAACATTTTGAAAATCGCGAACACTTCAAAATATTCGGTCTTCCCTGCGATTCCGCATAAGATTGGTTTTACGAGATAAGGCAGAATTCCTGGACGCTAAGGAACTTCTTCTACGAGGACTCCTTATTTGTTACGACTAGTTTAGAATACATCCAACGAATGAAATGGGCTCAGATCAACGTGACAATTTCGTACCTGAGATTCGGGCTTGTATGGTATTTAATACTACAGCAAAATTTATACCTTAGTGTAAGCTCGATGTGCCACGAGTGTTGAAAGGTTCTCGAAATTATTATATTGTCGCGCAGATCTACTGCTTCAGTCCGAGTCTCGTAAAAGATCGTATAAAGTTAATGAACGCTACATTTTATCTATAATTTTACGTGACTACTATTTTCTTTTATGACTTTCTTATATCCATAAATAAACGAAAATTGTTTCGAGTTAAATGGATTCGAACAAGATTGAACGCCTATAGAAGCTGAACTTCATTATAAGAAGAAGCTACAAAACTTTCGTATCACGATACCCAGCTCGTATAGCGAAATTCGAAGGTGAAATTCTTGCTTGAGAAACTTCTCGCTTATCGAATATGCCAAAAGCGACGACTAAGAAACTTTTTACCTCTATGCAACCCTAAACATTCCAAAGTGAATGAACAGAAGTGCCAACATGTTTCCGAGGTGATAAAAAGTTTTTCGGTCGTCGCTGATGACTTCGCTGCTGCAAATAGTATCTAATAGAAACGAATCTCTACCGTATCGGTCCGTTTTAATACTCGGTTGTCGATCTAGTTCCCTTAGTCGCTAAATAGTGATCTTAGGACTTAGCAAAGTACATCGTAAGTTTAGCTATTTCCAAGAATCTGCTCACATTCTTTACAAGAGCAAGTAGCAAACGATTTGGCTACGATTTGAATAAAACTTTGTAGGCTTGAAAAACAGCCGAAAATAATAGATACGTATTTTTTTTTTTAGCTACGGTAACTCAAGTTTAGGGAGTAAAATGACTCTCCAAAGTTCGACCGTTTGGTAAAGTCATCGCACCTTTTATTAGCGATAAATCTTTACGATTTTTCGCCAAGGGAAACGACTTCCTGCGTAACGTAATTTTCTCATTAGAACACTTTTATAAATATTTTTTGTATTTAAACTTATACGATACGTTGTGTCGTTTCCCTGCAATTTATCGATACAATATATGCATATATTTCTTTTATTCGGTATATCATAGGATTATTGGCGACCTTTGAACGATGAAAATATTAAAAAGACGACGGAGGGATGAGTTTCGTTTGTTACTTGAAGCATGCAAGTTTATAAGTCTCAGGTTAAAAATCGAATGACCAAGGGTAGAAGGGCGTCAATAAAATGTAAAAAGGGAAGTCGTTAAGAAGTAAGTGTTTTTTTTTATATCTTCGAACGATGACCCTGCGTGGGTATCTGCTTCTATGCCACTTGAAAACCATTATATGTTACATAAAGGAGAGCAGGAAGTCGTTCCTTCAATGATGAAAAATGAGACCCGCGTCCAACTTCTTACCTTTTTTTATTCTTTTATTACTTGACGATGGTACGGAATTGCTGTAACTTCAATTGTAACTTTATGCACCAAATTATAGAATTTATGATCCAGGGAAGATTTGTATATTAGTATTAATCGAATCGATTTAATTAGAATAAATTCAGCAGATGCCAATGAAATTAGGCGACAAAGATAAAGCGCAATGTACATACGATCTTTGCAATTAAACCAAGGCATTCCGTGGATAAAGTTAATCGTAAACGAGAAAAGTTCGGAACGTTGTTAGTTTAGGTATCATCCCCGTGGCTGTCGAAAGTTACGAATGTACCAATTTTCCCAATTAGGAAGTTTGCTATTAAGTTTGGCCGGAAAGGATTGTCTTTGTAAACCCATCTGCTAAAAGTATAATGACCAAAAAAATATCCTACAAAGTCTAGTTAATGTTGTCCACCTGTTTATTTGTTCGCCATTTAATGACTTTAATTAAATTTGAATTTGTAATTTATCTCGTAAATTGAAACGTAATAATAATGTGATATTTTGATTTAAATATCTTGTTGTAAATATCAACATATGCAATACCTACATCTGACTACGATTTTCATTATATATGTGCCATATTTATATACAACCTAATGTTGCAAACAGAAATATACTGCTTTTATAAATTAATAATGGAATGGCTCTGAATAAATAGATTCGCAGCAACAAAGTTGAAGGTCAATGTTTTTCGATTTCCTCTACGAATACTTTAGCCTTTAACTTAAGTTTTGCGCGGAGTTTACCTCTGCTAAATGATCAAATTTTCCGTTGTCAACGTACGCAACCGCTGCGCTAGATCCGTAATTTTCTCCTCTTTTGTGTTCCTCATTTTTAGATATTTATTGTCGTGCTTAATGATCAGAGAGAAGAAGATAATATAACAAGGCATATTCTGTTACGTAAATAGCAGAATAAATGTATATCATGATAATAATGTAGTACTGTTAACGATCGTCGTGTGTTCTTTCACTCATATAACTTTTCGGTTGCTTCGAATTCGACATTTCGCGATAACATGGATAAGTTCTTACGTCTGTTTCTTTTTCTCAACAACATGAAATTGATATCGGTATTATCCGAATAAGCCATCGAATTCGCTCGAGGCACGGCTTCCGTCTTGTAATGGGATTTTGATACTAACTGGTTGAGAGGTAGCAACCCTCATCATGGGAATAATTTCCTCGGCATATCTGTATCGCGTTCACTACACCTTGCACGTTTGGATGTGATACGTTATCGTCCGCTTACACGCTTTACCGAATCTGTGTTCTTCTCTTTAATGCAAATTGATAGCATAAAAAGAAAAGATCTTTACCTATTACAAGGTACTCAGATTTGTCATATTCTGCTTGCTTAATAATAATAATGTAAAAATTATTAATATTATAGATATTACTAATAACTAATAGAAGTTATTTTGTACGTAAGCTTGTTATATATTAATCGTTTGAAACAATAGAATCTGATACCAGTAGTTAGTAAACACGGCAGAGGTAATTCGAAATCGCGAGACTCAATATTCTCCCAATATACTCCATATCCGTCTAATTCAACATAAACTGCAGTGATTCTCTATCTTCCAACATGTGAGATATTATACAACACAAATGATGCTAAATTTTTGTAGTTCGATATTAGTGACAGTAAATATGTATACGATCGTGATGTGGGAGCTTTTAAAGAATCTAATAAAAATTCAGTAATGTATGTCACGCAATGCACGCGGAATTTCACCTAATCCATACAAGGTTCAACGAAGCCTCCAGGATCTTGAAGCTTCCAGATGAGTGTTCAGAAGTTTCGGGATCTTTGAGTACTTCGATATCCTTGGGGTCTGCGCGGTCCTCAGAGTCCTCCGGATTTTTCGGCTCTTAAGGTATCCAAAGTCTTTCCAGTATACTTCTTCAACTCATATCTTTTACATTTATTCCGTGCAATTTGCTTAATTTATTACTATATTTCTCACCTTTGCTGTCATAAATTATCATCCTAATATCTTGACTATGAGTTTAAATCTTGTGAATGTTGTACGTAAAACGTAATACACCATATGAAATCTTTGAAAATTCTCAACACATATCGGATATGTGTCATAATGAATGCTAGGTTGAATCTGTTTGTAGCACACGGACGCAATGCTCAACGTGTTCCGCGACGCCTATATTGCCACCATAAATCTAACATGGCGGTTGAACATTAACCCAGCGACCGCCGTCTATACTTCCGGTATTGGTCGACCTCCACATCCGATAAAATAGCTGTCTATATGGTTTCTGATATTATTTACACCGATTTAATGAACCGTAACAGAATTACAACCTTCCGGGTAAAATCATGTTTATCTGAATAGAAAAAAGGATTACCTATCATAACACGTGTAATTGAAATAACACGGGAAAAAGCTGTTTTTAACAGCGAAACAAATTTCGTTGATAATAATTGCTTTCTTCAATTTTTAGAAGAATATAATATAAAATGTTGAATACATTTATTTGTATTTATTATATTGTTGTTTGTCCTCGAATGTCAATTTATTTTCATGAATTGGCAGAAAGAATGATTTGATTAAATTTTTTCTCTCGTCGACAATGCAGTTCGTTTCTCTCGGCTTTTTTCGTAGATGCAATCACGCGAATGATCATAGACTAAATTTCGGGATATAAATCTCTGTAGGGACGAGATAGTGGAGTGGAAAATTGGATGACGATGTGGTCGGTTCACAGGTGGATACCACGCCAACTCTTTGTCCTACCGCAAATAAAATACATTTCAGAACATTTGGCATGAACACACTGCGAAATTTGGCAGTAATGCCTGCCCGCTGAAGTATTTACCGATATTGCAATCTTCAACGATATTTTCTTCTCTTTTTCATATGGGACAAGAATGAGATACATACAGTTACTCGAACAAAGTCTTTCCATGTACTATTTTTTTTAATACGTTAATAGAACACAGCTTTAAAATTCGTACTCATATTATTCCTTCCATTGCAGAGTCACGACAGCTGGCAAGGACACGACGGGGACCAGGTGAGCATTCATCGCTTACAACTACAAACGTTGCTTTGCTTTTGCTCTAAGCATGCTGCTTTATTCTTTCTTTTCTTCTGTTATCATGCGCTTTAATTACTCTGCTCTACTACCTATACCTCACTACTAGTTCAATTGTTCTTTTTTATTTATCATATATCGTTAATTTTTTAGTTGTGTTATTCTATTCTAACTTAAACGGCCTAATGAGACTGTAGTAAATGTTTGTCGAATTTTGTGCATGTTTTAACGAAATTAACAAGAAAATTGTACATTTGATAGTAAAAATGACGTGGTCTATAATTATTCATTTTTGGATGGTATTTACTATATTTTGAAGAACGATAATTGAATTTAAATGGTTCGATGTACGAAAACGTATTTTCAACAGAGAAAGTCGTACTTGCCGCATGTATCACGTAGCGTTCCCAGTGGTATCGGCAAGGGTAGCACAGAAACGATTAAACAGCAGGAACATGTAACGGTGAAAGAGAGTATGCAGAGAGAATGAAACCAATTTACATGACAGTGATACATACGATTCGAATTCTTACCACCTGGTTACGTAGCTGCAACTTGCAGTTTATCTCTTCGTTATTAAGGACGTTGCGATTTTTAATGATACGATGGTTTCAACGACTAGTGCATCAGGGTTGCAACGTTCCTCGTTAAGTACTAACGATTAGTCGATGTTGTACTAGTACTTATGAAAATATTTATTAACCCAGGAAATCTCTCGTGTACGTCTTAGATATCCAATGCTCTCCTATCATAGCGCTAAAATCCGCGGTATTCATGTCCACATTTTTCAAACATCGGTACACATATTGATACATTACCATGTTTATTAGTAAATTCATTAACGTGATGCGATAATTGAATATACTTCATTACTGCACCTGATTGTTGTTCTTAAATACATTGGAGTTTCTAAAGGAAAATTTTAAGATAAAATCGTTTAATTTATTAGAAATATTGGTACGCGCAATATGAAAATCCTAAATGAGAGATTCGTAATTGATAAAATAATCGTTTAATTAAAGTTTATTAATTCGCCCATGGCTAATGTCCGTTAATATCGACCACCATATAACAAAAGAGTCGGACGGTATAAAAGTTTCTGAGAGAACTGAAATACGAGAATATTTCCGCGAGACAGAGCGTCGCATGGCGACAACCATGGAACGCTTTTTACGAAGAATGAAAGACGGTAGAAGCACTTAACAATGAAGGCTGGTCGAATGAGATTTAGTGTACCGTCTAATCGGGTTTACTCTTGCCTTAGGGTTACGCCCCTTGCTGATACGCCGATACAGGCTTGGACTACGAGAGTGGAAAAGCTGTGGTAGTATGGGTAAAGAGTAAGAGGAAGGAAACTGAAGAAAACTGCGAGACCAAATGGTTAGGGGACGCGCTCCGTGAATTTAAAAAGATTCGTTAAACCTTGATACTGCTATAGACTGCGTGCTCTGTAAGGGAACTCTTTGTTAAGGAGTTCGACTACTCACCCATTCGCGTAATGCTCCTCCGAGATTTATCTCCGAAAGAAGATTTGCTAACCGTGTCGGAACATTCACGGGAACAAATGACTAATCGATTTTATTGTTTGATCAATTTCATTCGTTACAGCCGAGCTACTAATTGTAACTTTAAATCAATTTCTTGGCGTAAATATTTATTCAGGATTTTATGGAAGTTTCATTTGTTTAATTAATGCAATTAAATTACTTCTAAATTTTTATGAAACGGTTTAAAGGCACCAGAGAAGATTTATATTTAAACCAATGACGCTCTTTAAATTTCAATATTCGAGATCTATACACCGTTCAAGAATATCTCGAAGAGGTAAGTTCTGATCGATGGTTTCTGATATAAACCCTCGAACGAACTACGTATACCGTTTTTCAATAGTGCCTTCTCTAGAGAGGATCTATTTCGACTCCCATCTTCTTGTTTCGAATATTCACAATATGTCACCCACTACGCCATCCTCCAGCCGGCTTTATTCTCTTTTGTAACGATACAAAGCAGATCGCTCTTCCCTTTTCCTTTGTTCACGACGGACAATTTTGTGTCGAGATTCTTCTTCTCTTCGCTTCATGAAAATTCTCTTAAGATAAATCGTTCAGACAAACCTTTCTTCATCGTTTCATCCTTTTAACGTGAAATTTAGTAGCATCGACTCTGTTATCACGAAATTATCTTTTATAAAATATTACAAAATCTTGCCATGTAGATCTTAAATAATTCCCCTGATCTACGATAAAGGACGTTCGTCGAAGGGTTCCCACTGCTAAAATACGTCAAAAAAAATCTCGCCACGATTTGTGGACGTGAGTTCCTGTGGGAATTGTAGAATGCTCGTGCACACCAGATTGCCACGTTGAGTTATACCGAATCCGAATGAAATCGCTTTTATGAGAATGAATGTAATGCACCATGGACAAGCCGAACATATTGTCCGATGCATGTTTGCATTGTAACGAGTAGGTATCAAAGTTTGCCCAGAGATCGCTAAAACCTTCTTTCATCGGCGTAAGAAGTTCGCGGTTCGTCAGGCGTTAAGATGATTCGTTTTCCAGGCTATTTCATTTTACTTCAATATTTAAACTCTCTTCATGTTAACAATCTAATAATTTTCTCTTAACAAGGAGGTCGTTATTTTCTAACGAATGTTAAACGTTTAACATCTTGTAAATATTAAATAAGGAAACTCGACGAGGCTTTTGCGACTCTTGGAGTAATGGCTTCGTATATAAATATACGACGCATTTATTATTCCAGCAAAGGGGCTTCGTTCCTGTTCAAGATATTAAATGAATCAAAATTCCCTTCTCTCGGTGTATCGCGGTTACTAACACGGGAAAAAGGGCTTGGTGCCAATTACCCTAACTCACCCTCCTGCCCAGCTTTATCTCCGCTTTCTTTCTCCCTTATTTACTGCCTGCCCTTTTCTCGTATACGCATTACTCTCTACTTATCCCTTTTTCTTCGGTCTCTTTTTTATTCCTCGATGAGCATTGTGACTCCCGCTGCAAATGAGCCACTCCAGTTATAAGAGATTAGCCTAGGGCCTAGGGTGTTCGGCAGCTAACTTCCTATCCTTCTCTGTGTGTGTGTTTTTTTTTTCTCTCATTACTAGGGTCATACGGAAGGCGGAGACTGCTGAGATTCAACCGCAGACAAACAAAATTCTGAAAAATACGAGAAAGAAATGGATCTCGTGACGTTCGGTCTCCGACATACGCTAATTAAGCTCCAGCATCCTCTTCGGCATTTTCCTTTGGATTCCATTATGTTCGACGCAATAAAACACGAAATCAATTGTTTTGCATTGGTATTGTTTTTTTTCTCACAATCCTTCCATTCTCCCATTCTTTTTCACACAAATGATCGTTTAGAATGCAAATTTAATGCTATAGGAAGTTACGAACTGCATTTGTGAAGTTAATGTAAAATAAATCATTTTTTAAGAAAGGTGTACTTTATGAAACGCGAATATTGCGTAGATTTATAATTAGTTACAGTTAGTTTCCAATTCCTATCTTTGCAAAAGGTACTGTACAACAAAGTTTGGTGCACGTTAAACAGCTTATCGACAGAGTTTGCGGAATATAACTGCTACAACACATAGGTGTCACTTATAGTTCTAATTCCGATTATATTGTTTCACCTGTACATTAATATTTTATTAATTTAGTAATACGAATTCTATGTTACAAATTAACACATTTACAAGGATTGCGAAGAAAGTATCAAGTAAAAGTTTCATGCCAGCATCGACGAGCAAGTCATCAACGAGTCAACCGTATCATCACTTGATCTCTTTACTTAGTTATCTCGAAGAAATCTTTTAATCTCTACCACATTTGATGTATTGAATTGAAAAATTATATTGATCGTTCGAAAGCAAAATAATAAAGGTACCTACATACATGTATCATCAAATCAATATTCAGCCGGCCAATTTTCAGAACGGAAGTTGTACCCGTTTCTACGCAATTTTCTGTTTGAATGTAGTTTTGGTCTGAAATCGGTTCAAAGGAATGCATAGCTGAGCATTACGGAAACATTAAGCGGGCTTCGATGCATTGACGCGATTTCGGCGGGGCCTATTCGCAGAGGTAGAGATGCCGGTTAGAGAAATGCAAATTGCAGTCAGTCAGACGGCATTAAGCGTTGCCATTGTTCCGCAACGTACTCCGCGTGTCGGTGGCACAGTTGCATACGGCAGCACGCAAGATACACCATCGGTGAAATTGCCTCCCCAGAAATTCTAAAGGTTTCGTTCAAGTTTCCAGGTCACATAGCTCGGGGCATTCGAGGGAAAAGGATCGTCAGATATGAATGCGTTGACCGCTTTCGGCCTTTGAGCATATTTATTTTTCGCGAATGATTAGAAAGAGTTCAAGTAGTCGTTAAAAAGCCAGAGGGTTACTACTTTTTTCATATCCATTCAGACGCGTGAAAACAGTGATGCATTGAAACAAAATCACGATGCATCTGTACTCCTGTAAACATATCTAATCCTAGGTCGTTGGATTTCAAAGTGACGGCTCATAGAAAAAAACTGGTTTCTTCTATAGCTCGGATGCGGTTATTGTACGTTCAGATCGGATATTTGGTCTTTTTTTTTTATCAAAGTTTACGAAAAGGAGTTGGAAGAATCTGAGAAGATCCTACTCTGTACGAATATTTTTATTGAGAAGGAATTCCTCTACCTCCGAACGTGTGCACTGAGTCAAACAAGAATCACGTTTTTTTTAGAGATTAGATTGAAACGAGTTTCCTGATTCGCAGACAGTGTCACATGGTCTTCGGGATCGACTTCGAACTCGTGGATTCCTGGAGACGAGCAGTTCCATTTAAATTCCATCGAACCTGATGGAATAGCGATAACAGAACTTTTCACCAATTATGGGAGTCGTTGAAAGCGAAAGGAGCATTTCCACGAACGCAAACGTATTTAATTACACTTTTATTTCCCAAACAAGACAACG